ATTCTTCATGTCTTTTATAAATTGGCGTTGATAAGACAACCAACAAATTGTATTTCTTTAATTATACTCATTTACAATTCTACGGAGTAACCAACGGAATAAGATAAGATGATGAAGAAAGTGAGATGCATGAATGAAATAAATAAATGTTTGCTTCATTATAAGATGAAATTAAGAACAATTCATTATACAATAAATTAGCAAAACAAAATCAGCCGGTGTGTCACACAAATATCGCTGCATCATTGTACTTGAATATTGATGACATGATTCCTTGCCGTTGTTAATTTTCTCAGAGCAATGATGGAACTTAAACTCAATATATCCGTTGGGTATAATATTTATAAGCAATGTGTGGAGGCATCTGAAGATAACCGACGTATTGCAACGCAAATGCCTTGTCGCTGGTCATGGGCACGTATGAGCAACTAAGCACTCTCATTAAATATTACTCATACGCATCAGTTGGCAGGTTCATAATTTTGTTCAGATTAAACTATGTGTACAAGGGAAAATATTTAATAGAAAATGCGATAAAAATGTCTATATAAAAAGAAATTTTTTTATTTTTGATTTACAAGAGTAATGTTAGTTCTAATGTTTAACAAAATTGAAAGTTCTTTGTTCAGCATTTATATTAAAGTCCACATTAAACTCTTCTGTACGAAACTTTAATTATGTTTGTATATTGTTAGGTAATTGCAAATATCTTAATATATTATTAGTTTATCTGAATATGAAAGTAGAGCGAAAAATATAAGGCATGTGTTTCGGCGTTTTGGAAGTTTTCATCGCATAGTAACCTAAATATATGGCCTTTCTTTCAATATTCGGATTAAGATTCCTAAGATTCCGCGCATTCCGCATCTTCGACAATATTATTAACAACAATACAAGGATTATCCTAAACATACACTCAAGCGAATAAACAACAAGTTAAAAAGTATCAGTCGGTTTTACCGACAGATGTATACCCTCAGCCAATATTCGATTATTTAAATATATTTTGACTTCTGTTATGATTATTCAAATTATTGACCCTCTACAGAACCCGCAGCGGGTTCTACGATACCGGATTGACCCGAAACAATAACATTCCAGTTTCAGTACATGTTTGTGTTTGCCTATGTATATCTAATACAGATAACAATATTGCAAGAAAATCGAATATTTACACCCAGTTCTTTGTGAAATCACAAATTCCATATTCACCTCAAGTTTTTGGCTGAGAGAAATATTTAGATATAGCAAGTTGTAAAGAATCGCTGACTTGTTTCGCACGTTAAGACAGATAAAAATATTGAAAATTTTGAACCCTTGTAGGTGAGGTACTAGAAGGGGTTCGCAGACAACAGATCTTGTTTGTATGTGTAATTTGAAGGGAGTTGAATGCTTATTTCGCTTTATTTTGAGGGTTTTGTTTTTTAAAATCTTGAGCCCTATATGGAGGAGGTGCCAGAAGTAATGGTATTATGGTAGCTGTTAATGTGTAGCCTTGATATGTGGAGGTGTTTTCGGCATATAGTATTATATTTGGACGAAAAGTACTGAATGGTATTGAGTTAAGAGATAGGATAATATTTTGAAATTTGATAGTTTGAATAGATTTGGCGGTGGTTTGGAAAAGTGTCTCATGTTTGTACGATAAATTCCAAATGGTACTAAATTTGGCTGGAATTCCGAAATTCGATATTAAGGTTTCTGTTGATGTCTGGTGCTGAGATCTGTTGGTCATTTTGCAAATGCGTACTATAATTGTACTAAATGGTACTAAATTTGGTAATGGGGAAAATTAAAGAGCTGATGTCCTGAGCTAATATGGAGATTGTTTTGAAAATGCGTACTTTAATTGTTCGAAAAGTACTAAATGCTACTTCATTTGGTATTGGGTGAAAGAATAGAGATGCAATTCTGATATTTAATTTTGGGGTCTGGAGTTGAGAGAAAAGGCTAGTTTTAGATAGGAGTACCATAATTGTAAGAAATGTTACAAAATTTGGTAATGGGGGAATTTACAGCGCTGGAATCCTGAAATTTAATATCACTGTTACTTTTTTTTGGGTTTAGATATGCAGACCTGGAAATAGTTTTGGACAGGAAAAATAGATGTGGGTCCACTGTGCAATGGTTTTATTAATATCCTCTTCGGTGTTTAAGGTAACATTTTTTTATCCTTTTTATCCTTGAAAATCTGATATATATGATTTCGTATTTAAATATTTTAATTGACTATGACAAAATGTAGCTTTGCATGTATCCGTCTTTGTGTAGACCCCAATATTACGGTAACTTCCTATATTCGGAGCTTTTATGATTTTATCTTTTTATACCCTACAACACTATGTGTTTTGGGTATTATAAGTTTGATTGGGACAAAAATTATGTAACACCACGAAATATAGATTCCCCACATAGGGAAGTATATATGGATCTTCCTATCTCGCCGAGCTGAGTCGATCTAGCTGTGTACGTCCGTCCGTCCGTCTATCCATTTAAATTTGTAATCACTATCGCAATTATTGCCCGATCTTCGCGAAATTTAGTATGGAGGTGGGGTTAAGGTCAGAATAGAACCTTATTTCTTTTGGAGATGATCGCATAATATTTAGGAGTTGAAATGGACCAAGAACTGAAAATTTCCAGTTGCTCTACAGGTCACAACTATAGACTAATCGAAGCGAAAGTTTGATGGCCATCGGATAATATTTAGTGGTAGAAATAGACCATAGCATTTGTGATAAATAAAAGTCAAATTTTCCATTAAACCGCGGAATATTTTTAGTCCCGGCGAAATCACAAATAGACGAACAGGTCAATTCTGACCGTTACGTGGATGCTGATAGTAAATATATCGGATATATATAGCGAAATATATACAATGTATATATACAATGGAAGGGGATCTTAGCTAGAATGCTTATGTCTCAAAAATGGTTGGACCGATTTTGACAAATTTTTTCAATTCAGAATTGCATAAAAGTATAAAATCTAAAAAAAATCGCGTAAAAAGATGCAAATAATAATGTTCATATAGATTTTGTAGTATTTTGGAAAATTTTGTTATTTTTTCATTTATTTTATCGCATGCGATTTTTTCAATTTGACTTATAACATTGAAGTGTATATTTTGTAATATTTTTTCACTTCCAATCCATGCTGGAGTTATTATATACAGATTGCAATTATCATCCAATCCTCACGAAAATTTTCACAAGTTAGGCTCAGATGGGTTAGGCCTATTGTTTTGAAAGATGTCCGGGGTTGAAATTGACCAACAACTAAAAATTATCCTGATATTGCAGCCGTTACAAAGATCACAAATAGAAACCAAAGGACACGAAATTTCGCATGAAGACAGAGTTTAAGACAGCGGGAAGAAAGTTCCACTACCTAAAAATAATAACATTTCCATTCTACCGAAACGCCGAAAATAATTTACAGGCGAAATCCAAAATACGCAAAATGCGAACTTCTGGCTTTTTATACTGATATCGTTGACGAATATAGCCAAATATCGTAGATAAGCAATTAAGAGATAATCGCAAAATATTTAAGGGTTCAAATGAACCAAAAACAGGAAAAAATTCATGATCACACAATTGAAATCAATCGACACGTTTGAGAAGAGAGTTAAGGACAGGAAAGAATTCTAGCATTTTGGGTGACCATTGGATTATATTTAACTGTAAAACGGACCACAAGAACTAACAGCACGACGGAGTGCGTAAATAACAGCCAAATGTCCCTGGTCAAAAAGCTGAGGATATTATCTTGGCAGTATTCTATGACATAATTTCAAAAGCGGAATCTTGCAAAATGAATTTGGACATAAGGGGGCTTCTAACATATTAAAGTGTTGTAGGGTTTCACATGGTCGGCCCCGCACGGCTATAGCCTTTGCTTACTTATTTTTGTTTAATTTTACCCATATATTGGATTTTTAGTCATACATAGATTTTATCCTTTCTGATAGCGGGCCATTTCGAATTGATGAGAATTATGAAATTCAGTCCAGAGGTTCTTGACTTTTAAGCAGAATAACTAACATCTAATTCTTTTACATAAATATCGTACCTATTTTGCAACATATCCGATATGTTGTTTATCAGCATCACTCTAATGGTCAGAAGTGACCTTTTAGTGTATTTGCACTTTCATCGGGATTAAAAAAATCGAGGTTTAGTGGAATTTTTTGTATTTTTTAATGTGAAAGTTATTGTTTATTTTATCCTCTAAATATTATCCGATGACGGTCGGTAGGCCTCTGTCTTGTCCTTGACTGTATAACGTTGGTTTTATTATTACAACGATTGGTTTTATATGTGCAGGACCAATATTTTAAGCTGTTACATAATTTTTGCCTCAATCAAACTTATAAAAACGTGATAAAAACCAATCATATTTGAATCAAAGCATATCATATTATTTAAAAATCGAAACATAATAAGAAAATGGTTACGCCACAGTGTTCAAGATTTTTTTCTTTTTTTGCCATATTTATGTTATGGCTCTGCTGGTCACAACCAAGTTTTTCAAATTTTACTATTATATTATTCAATGTCTTTCTTTTGTCCTCCCTTTCCTAATTTCTTCTGTCTAATGATTATGACCACTTTTGGACAGTTTATTTTGCTAAGTACTTGATAAATAGTTTACGTTTAGGGAAATCAAGCATGGCATCATGCCTCATTGTTTGACAGATCAAGTCTATTAAATCAACTAGTCCCAAAAGGACAACTTAAATCTTCATCCTCAATATAGTTTTATTTTAATGTCTGTCGCTCATACCCTGCCATATGCACGTCTCATATATCTGTCTGTCCATCTGATAGACAGATAGGCAGACAGTCTGTCTCTCTTTAGTCATTTCTGCGTCGGTATATTAAAATTCATTTTATTTTGTATTTTCGTATGTTTATTTGTTTGTTTGTTTGTTCATTTGGTTGGATGTTTGTTCGTTTGTTGTGCTTCTGACATTTTTGCTCTGCACCATTACTTACCACTTAAATATGTTATAAAATCCGTATTCTTGTCATTTTTTATCTCACGTTTTACCACATTTGCTTTGGGCCATGAATGTTGATGTAAGTATTTCGTGGCCAGCGCTGAAGCGTACGATGTAATATCAGCGTATGGCGACTGCTCCTGCTCCGGATGCTGCTGCTCCTGCTTGAGGCCCATAGCGACAGCATGATGTTGCTGCTGTTGTATAATTAAAACAAATGCCACAAGTAGATTAAATAACCAGATACAGTTAATGTCACACATTGTCCATTTCACAATAATGCCGACACGTTCAAAAATTAAAATTTGCTTTTCACAGACAAATGCCAAATACAAATATACGTTTCGATATCTTCTGGTCGGCGCTTGTATGTGTGTGTATGCGTGCGCGTATTTGTTATAGACTCAAAATGATATATCACTAGTATTTACTCTTCACAGATACCAATACAATAATTGTACGTTATATCGATTCGCGTTTTCCGTTCCCAAAACGTAGACGTAGACACAGACTTCACAAATGGCAATGCAACATTACGCACGTTCGCGACATATCGCTTGAGGCATTGTTACTTTTACACGTTGTGACAATGAAAGGTGAAAATGGCAATACGAATGACAGCCCAACACGTTCAATTTAAATTAAAATTTATTATACAACTGTGAGCGCGCGTACGCTGCCGGAACACACGCGTTTTCTATTGACACCGGAGGGCGGGGGAGTGTGCCACACAGCGTATGATTAATGAACCTCAACAGCTTGTTGGTTGCTATAGCGAACTTTGATTCTCTTCTTCCCGGCTTATGGAGATGTTTTGGTTAAAGCCATGTTAATGTCATACAATTTGTAGATTTTTTTTAATTCTTTTGGGAATTCTTCAGTTCGGTTTTTTTTGCTGGAATCTGAAAGAAAAATAAATTTGTATTTTAAATATTTGAATATGGATAAAAAGGATCAGAGAGATATTGAAATATATAAAATGTATCAATGGTAAATGTTGTTTTATGGTCAATCGTATTCTACATCAAAAAGTTGTCCTTTGTCCTCCTCTCTATACCAAATTGTGTAGTAGTATTTTCAAAATTTCCACGTCATATCAAAAAAATCAAATGTTTTCTAATTCTACTTCTTTTTTATACTGCCATGCCTGTCTAAGAGATCCCATGCGGAATCGTGGCGGATTTCACCACCTATAATGAAGCTGACCCTGAAGCTGTTTAGAAGCGGAATATACAGAAAATTTGGTTGTCCTAAATTCCCTCACTATTCCCTCCACCATTCTAAGGAGGGTATATTAACCTTGTCATATTGTTTGTAACTCTTCAAAATACTCATGTTAGACCCTACACAGTATATACATTCTGGATCAGCGTAAAATTCTAGGTTGATTTAGCGATGTTGGCCTATCTGTCTATTGTTATGACGCTATCTTTCGAAAGAATTCAGATAGAAGGCTCAAAAATTTGTACACCTGTGTATTTTGCCAGCAAGCGGGTTAAGTTCGTAAATGGGCCATGTCGGTCCACTTTTTATTATAACGGTACTTCCTGATATTCAGTATTTTGGTGACTTTAGCGACATTGTTCACCGGAATTGTTTCAATTTTCGTATTTGAAGATCTTAGTGGGTACTACAGTCTAGGATAGAAACTTGTCTATGCAGATCCACGTCTTTGTATAGCCCCCACAAAACAGCACCTCCCTTTATTCGGTATTATGTTGATTTTAGAGACTTTATTTATTTCGTGTTTTAAGTTCATAATGGGTACTACAGCCTATCTTAAAAACTATATATGAAGGCCTACGTCCTCGTATAGCCCCCCTCCCAATATTTTTATAATTTTAGAGATATTATAGACCGGAATTGTTTCAAATGTCGTATTTAAAGTTCGTAATGCTTAGTACAATCTATGACAGAAAATTTTCCATGCAGACCCACGCCTTCGTATTTCTCCCATATAACGGTACCATCCAACATTCGATATTATTATGATTTTAGAGACATAGACCGGAAATGTTGCAAATTTGGCATTTGAAGTAACTACAGCCTATGAAAAAATTCCATATGAGATCCACGTACTCGTATAGCCACCAAATAACGATTTTCATTTAAATATTTTTCGAAATTAGTTTGATATGATTCAGGTTCCTGACAAATGGTGGAGGGTATAAAAAGTTTAACCCGGCCGAACGTAACTGCTTTTTATACCCTCAGCCATATGACATTTAATACGGCCAAAACGTATCTAATCGGAATAACGATTCTGGAGCCTAGGTCTCTTTGGACCAATTTTGTTTTAGAAGACTTTGAGTAGATCTAGTGATGTCCGTCCGTCGGTTCGTCCGTATGTCTTTCAGGATGCAGCGCATGATAATTCTCGAAGGGAGCATCCGATTTGGGCCAAACTTTGTACATCGTAATATTATTATCAAATTTGGATTGAGTTCGGAGATGTGAAATATCGGACCACTCCTTCTGGTACCACCCCACAAAAATTGGAAATTTTCAAAAAAAAATATTTTTCTGCAAAGAAAGAGAAAGGATAATCCGATCCGACTCCAACTTTGCAAATCCTAATATTTCCATCAGTGCTACGTCAGGTATGAAAATGGACAATATCTGTCTAATCCATCAAGTACCTCATCCACAAAATTTAGATTAATTATGACTTTTATAAAATGTGACGTCCGATTGTCTTCAAATTATGCACATCGCAATAATTTTAATATTTCATGGTCCGGTATGAAGATGGAATGTATTGGTCCACTTTCTGGTACCTGCCCCACAAAGGGTCAACATTTTTAATAATATATGAAGCTCATATATCGTGAAAATAACATCCAATTCCATTCAGACTTGACACATCTCAATATTTTTATTAACACAAGATCTCTCATAAAGATGGCAGAGATCGGACCGTTCCTACCCCACACCTAACCCACAAAGGATCTAAGTTTTGTATAACCAGAACAAACATAAAATCCAAAATAAGCATCCGGCTCTCTCCATATTTCGCACATCTTATTATTTCTACTAACACAAGATCCGCTGTGTAACAAGATATATCGGTCTACTCCTTCTGTTAAAGGTCACAATTTTGAATATCCACGAAGCTTATAAAACGCGAAATTGCCACCCAAATTTGGTACATCTCAATATTTCCATCAATACAAGATTTGTTCTAAATATGGTAGAGATCAGACCATTTCTTCTGGTACCACCCCCACATAGGGTTCAAGATTTTGAAATTCAAAACGCCCAAAGAAAGCAAAATAAAAATCCAACTATCTTCAAACTTGATACACACAAACATTTTCGTTATCTCAAGATCTGTTGTGAAGATGGTGTATATCTGTGAATAGCTTCTGGTTCCTTACCCACATAGGCTTCAAATTTTTAATTGTTTTGAAATTTTTAATTGAAACAAGTCAGCGATTCTTTACAACCAGAAACCTGAGATGAGTGTGGAATTTATGATTTCGCATAATTTTTTTTTTTTAATTTTCCCCCTACAAATATTTTTATCTGTATTGGATGCAGTATTAAAATGGAGAACTTCTGTCGACTATATCTGGTACCATACGCAAATTTTAAAATTTTCAAAAAATTATCACAAATCTCATATAAAGTGAAGGAAGTGACCAATTTTGTCCCAATCTAAGCATAAAAGTATAAAGTAGATCCCAAAGTACCTTAGAAGAATTAAAATATATTAAAAACACATTGAGGCTACTCTATGCTTCCATTCTAAGTGAAAATCTCCTTTATAACTTCGGAACAAAAGAAATTTCTATATCTAAAATTTACCACAAAAAATATCATAAATATTGTAGAGTTCTGGATAACTTCAAGAATCATTGGTATAAAAATGGGCCAAGTCAAAGTCGACGTTACATCGGATCTATACCGCAATTAATTGGAAATTTTAACAGAAACCGCAAAACTTTCAAAAAACGGAGTCGTGACAGGAAAAAAAATAAACGAATATTAAATTTATTAATTCGAAAAAAAAATTCTATTCATTGGAAAACGAAATTCCAACCATTTTATGATCGACTAATTTGCAGAAAACAACTAAATCATCTAATTTTCTACAATACTACCTACAATACAATACTAACATTATATGTACAGATTTTTCCCCTTACGTATTTTGCTTTCTCATCCACGAATTTTTACGGAATTCCAAACCCTCATTGGCAATCGAATGAATAAATTACTATTTGCTTTTTCAACGAACCATTGGATTCTAGGCAACAACAAACACAACTACGAACCAACAAATATTTACGCCCCATGGACATTTAACACTTATTGAGAATACCTTTGTTTCACTGTAAGTTTTAACCAACCAATGAAGTAGAGTTTCACTTTTACTTCGTTTTGCTTCCGGTCTTAAGTTTGTTTTGTGTTATTTTCTCACTTTGTGTTTTTTTGTTTTGTGAACTATACAATCCTCAAATCTCCAGGTGGTAATTTGTGATGAAAACTTACAACGTGACACAATTGTTGGCCAAAGGATATTTTCGTGTTGTTGTTTTTTTTATTTTTTTTTCTTGCAGGTAGGTATAATGTTTTTGCCCGGAGCCCGGTGACCACGTGACTTTAGTAAGAAGACATTTTTGTGTCAATTCACACTTTGTTTTGTCATTTCATTCGTTATTACTGTGGCAACATATTTTGAAGTTTTTTTGTTTGTTGTAGTGAATGTTTGATGTAAATGTTTATGGGGAAATTAAAAATTTATACGAAGTTTGTTTTTTTTTTGGTTTAGGTCGTTGAGTTTTATGCGTATTCAGGTAGAGAAACGTGTGAAGGACAAAGTTTTACGAAAAAAAAAAAATATTTGTAATATGAAGTCGAATTAAATTCTACATTTATGACAGAGAATTACAAAATAAAAATTGGAGTATAAAAACTGGGATTAAGACAATTATAATAAAAATCTACTCATTATTATATTTGATATTATATTAAGGACAAAGTCTGCATATTTAAGAAGAATTAGAATTTAATCTTTAATGTATCCCAATGTGTTCTAAATCTAAAATATGTAGTTGAAAATGACAGAAAACCCAGACATACTAAATATCTTAAATATAGAGAGAAAAACTGCAGACTGCAACAATAGGGTCTGCAAATTAAAAAAATAAACTACTTACTCCATGCACCATAAAATTTGCAACACTTCCAAATGTTGTTTTAGATATTAAGGAGCAGGGTAAAATTCCATTTTAATTTTGCCTTTTCCGTTTGTCTACTCTCGAAATCAAATAAATACATCTTTGACATTTTGAACAGACATAAATTAATATTATTCCCAGAATTTTTCGTATTGAAAATGGTATATATGGATCCACGTTCAGAATGAGTTTCAGAATTTTTACCTTTTCGTTTCTTTTTGAGTGGATTGGCGCCGCTGGCCCCTTGTTTAAGTTTTGAAAAATGTAGTATCCAATGAAGGGACATTCAAACAGACCATGAACATTTCTGAATAACAATCAGTCCTATCATTCATTCCGCATTTATGTGTCACTGGCTGACTGTTAAATTTTTGGGGGGGAGGTAGCAGAAGGAAAAGTTCGTTCTATCCGTTCCTCATACCTGATCTGTTGTTGATAGAAATATTGGGATGTGGGAAATATAAAGACAATAGGTCCCTTATATAACATTTTATAATAGTTATTATTATTCATAAAGTTAACCCGTTCTCGGGGAGGTATTAGAAGGAGTGGGCCCATCTTATTCAAAATTTTGACCCTTTGTGGGGGAGGTACCAGAAAATGTGAGCCGGTATATCCCATTTTCGAAACTTAAAAATAATCTCATGCATATTTTGCATTTTATGAGCGTTTTAGATACTCCATATTTTGACCCTTTGTGGAGGAGGTACCAGACGGAATGGTCTGCTATTCTCCATCTTTACACCAGATTTTTTAATGGTAAAAGTATTGGAATGTTTGAAATTTGAAGAGAATCTGCAGTATATTTCTCATTTTATGATTGTTTTAGGTTTAGATTTGGACCCTTTGTGGGGAGGTACAAGCAGGAATAGTCCCAATCATGCGCCAATGCAAATATCACGATTTGCAAAGTTTGAACAAAATCAGATTATCCGCTCTTTACCTATGCGGTAAATTATTTTCTATGAACATTTTTACCTTTTATGGGGGGCACCAGAAGGAGCCATACCATAGCCATACAGCTGAGGGTATATAAAGTGAGTGGAGTTTGTCCATAGTATCAAAGTTCGAATAAGGACTATAAAGATATACTGGTTGACATTGGACCCATATACCACCTAATTGAGTTTTATCTGTGGATTTATGCGTATTATCCGCCTAAACTGGATATAACCATAATGTGGAACGTTAATGATCGATAGTAATTTCGTATTTTTTCTTCACAGAGAAGACTTTCTCTTTGGTATAGTGCAAATATTACTCTATCATCTGATAATTGATTTTTTTAGGACTTTAACCACAATTTGTTACCGATTTTACTCAATTTGCAATTTCCAATGGAATTATGCATCTCATTACTGGGTTCAAATACGAAGGACACTGCGACAATGCCGCACTAAATACCTTTTGTAATTGTGCTGTTACAATTCGCCCAATATATTTAAGTTATTTTTAAGGTATATACTATAATGTTGCACTTATACTATAATGTTGCAATTATTAAATAGAACCAAAGTTTCGAAAACTCCACATGTTATGGTACTTTTAAATTCCATTTAGGCTTAACTGAACTAAATGGATGGTACAACACTGTGGTCAGGTTATTTTTATAACCTACACCACAAGGTGGTCAGGGTATTATGTCTTTGTGCATTTGTTTGTAACAGGTAAAAGGAAACGAGATAGACCCATAGTTCCTTTTGATGATAGGCATAGAATCACATTCTGAGTCGATTTATGCATGTCCGCCCGTCCGTCCGTCTGTCCATGTATTTTTGTAAACAAAGTACAGTTCACATTTATTGTCCTATCCAGATGAAATTTTGCACAAATCATTTGTTTGGCTCAAGGACTAACCCTATTGAAATTGGTCAAAATTTAGATATATCGGGCAAAATTTAGATATAGCTCCCATATATATCTTCGTCCGATTTGCCTTTTATTGTGCACCAAACGTGTAATATCAGTCCGAATTGTATGAAAATTGGCACTGAATCTAGAAGCTAGTATGTCAAATTTGGTGAAGATCGGTTCAGATATAGCTATAGCTCTCATATATCCGATTTGTCATATTTTTTACCCACAGCCGTAATATGCACTCCAACGAGTGCATACACACGATATTCAGGGAAATATATCAAATACAGCTCAGAAATATCTTTGTCAAATTTTATCGAGATCGGTTCCGATTTGGATATAGCTCCTATATATAGTTTTATCCTATTTCAAATGAATTGTGCACCAAATGGGCAATACAAGTCCGAATTTAAAAGATACAAATGCTTCGGCATATTTAGTTTGAACTTTAAATTATCATTATAATCATACAGTGTATGATTGAATTCTCCCATAAAAACTTTTAATTGTTATGCGCAGCTCTACTAAGTTAGCAAAGTGGTGTATCAGTATCAGGGCCCCGGCCGACTTTAAGACTTTCTTTACTGGTTTGTCTTTGTATTTGTTTGCAACAGAGAGAATTAGGCGAGATACACCCATAGATTATTTTGATCATATTCTAAGTCGATTTATTGCTATCAGTCCGTCCACCCATCTGTCTGCACATGTATTTAAAAACAAAGTACAGGTGGTATTTATTGTCCCATTTAGATGAATATTTTCACAAATCATTTGTTCGGCTCACATGAGTTAGTCTATTCAAATTGGAGATAATTGGTCAAAATTTAAAAATAACTCTTAAAAATCTTCGTCCGAGTTTTTTTAAGCACCAAATATGTAATATTACTCCGAATAGCATGGAATTTGGCACGTTTGACCAAATTAAGCCTACAAGCAAGCATGTTAAATTTTGTGAAAATCAGTTGAAATATATAAATGTTTTTTATCAGTTTTTTTTTTTTTTAATATAAATCACATTGTTGCCTTAAAGCTATTTTGACAGTATTATTTGGTAAATCATCATGAATAGGGTAACTCCAGAACAACGCTTCCAATTCGTGGAAATTTTAGGAGAAAAAGGAGTTCAATTAAAAATGTTTATAGAGCAATTCGTGAATTTTATTGTGCACAGATTCGTCCGACTAAGGCCATCATAAAGAACGTAATTACTGAATTTCTGTCCACATTATTACTTTCGGATGCCAAGTCACTCTGTACAGATGAAAATATTGCTGTCGTTGGGGCCAGAATCATTGGACCTTATTTTTTGGAAATCGACATAAAATAAATGTTTGTTGCCAAAACTTCAAGATATGGACAGGAGAAATGGACCGGCGACTTGGCCTTCTCGTTCGTGTGACTTGACGCCACACGATTATTTATTGTAATTGGATAAAGCCGTAACGATTTACAAATGTTTGAAACGGTAGTCAAACATTGGTGGCCGAAATTATATTTAAATGTTAAATGACATTTGGCTTGTGTTTCGTTCTGCTTTCAAATCAGCAAACTCCTCGAAAACACCCTTTATGTATTTATCCTATTTTAAGTTTATTGTGCACCAAATGGTCAATATCAGCCCAAATTAAATAAATTTTGGGACATGGCAATGAATTTAGCCCGTCTGTGAAATTTGGTGGAAATCGGTTCAGATATAGCTATAGATCCCATATATATCCGGTTTTTTATTTAAGTCCCTCACACTCGTAAAATGCAGCCCACAAGAAAAAGGTTTGGTATCTGATAAAACATAAAAATATCTCTGCTAATTTTTTTAGAGAGCGGTTCAGATAGCTCCCACATAATTCTTCATCTGATTTTATGTTTAATGCGCACCAAAAGTACAAGATCAGCTCAAATAGGATGGATTGTGGTGAAAATCAATTCAGCCACAAATGCTTCTGCCAAATTTAGTGCAAATCAATTTACAGTAGGATAAACCTTTCACATATAATAGATTTTTTCGATTTTTAATTATAAATGCTTGAAAGTTATAATACACATTCTAAAACGATTATAGTTGGTATGATCTACTTCACATATATTCCCACTAAAAACGATAATTTGTTACGAGCGGCTCAACTATATAAGCATACTTGTTTTGGGTCTCATAGAGTCGAACCCGTTCGACTGTCGATCGTTTTTACTTTACTTGTTTTACTAGGTCTTTGTCGATTAAATCTAGAGTTAACTCACTTCACTACACATTGCTAATGAATATTCAAATTTCCTCAGAGATATAACGCGGTAATGCCGAAATCATTTCCATAATATATTTTTATTTTTTTTTTTTTTTTTTGTAAAGCCAAGTTTTTGACAAAAATGCGGTATTTTAAGTTTTTTTTTTTTTTTTTTTTTTTTTTTTTTGTTTTTAAATCTTATTTTGTATTTTTTCGTATTGATATTTGTAGAATGCAAGAACTAAGAAAATAGTATAAGGAGTTAAAAATTCTCCTAAAGCGATTAAAGAAAAACTACATTATTAACAAATGGATTTCACTTTTTATTCGAACACAAATTATTTTCTCTGGAAATATAAATAACTACTTTATAACTACCTTTTCCAATTAAGTTTGATTTTATTGAGAAAGTTTTTCTCTCCTTTTTAGTTTATTTTATTATTTTTCATTAATTAATTTATTCCAATTTTCGGTATGAATCCTTTATTCAAAATTTTTTTTTACTCGCAAAAGTTTGCACTTGTTTTCTTTGCGTAAAAATTTTCACATCGATTTTTTTTCTGCGCTCTTCTTCTTTTCACTTTAATTCCATAAAGTTTTTATGGCAAAAATTGGACTGAACCTTGTGGCGTATGATTCATAATTATTATTGCTACTTTATAGTTTGGTAACAAGTTTCAATAAATTACGCCAGCCATGTCTAACTTTTTTTTCGCTTTGTAACACCTTGTTAAACAGGTTCCACACAAAAACACACAATTGTTGCTGTTTCAATTTCACGAGCCGACAAAAAGAACCAGAAAGGAAACTATGACTGGCAAGAAAACGATAAAAATTTAAGACGATGTTAATATTTAAAGGACTTGCACTTTAATAAAATTTTCGATATTTATTTATACGTTTTTTCAATTCTTGTACGTTTTGAATATGGAGTATCTGCTCCTGGATTTTTTTATATATTTTTTTTTTTTATTTTCAAGCACTGATTTTTCTTTTTCTTCCTTTATGAAAATCATTCAATTGATTGTGACGGTATCCATTTGATGCGTTTGGTTTTGAGGGTTTTCCGAGAGCGACCATACGTTTAGCGTGTTTAAATGGCAACTGACTTAAAGTCCTTCCACAACATGCTAATATATATCCCATGGTATTGTCCATAGTAGCCGCTATTTGAGTGTTTCAATTCCATTTTTTCCAACAATTGTGGCTGTGGGTTTGCCTGTGTGTTCTTGGCCACGACTAACACTTGTATGCTAGCGTTATCCTCTTACATCCACATGAACACATGTTTTGCGGCATTCTATCGGCCTGGAATATTACCCATTTCGTTTTATGTCAACAGAGAACATTTTTGCCATAGCATATCCTTGCACGGTGGTTTTGTTGTTTTGCCAGCGATGTGTAAGCAAAGATTTTATTGAATGAACTTCCAGGGCATGCGTCCTTCGAAGCATTCCACTTTCCAATGAGAGGGAACTCTCTTTTTGCCTCCTGTGTTTCGTTTCCCACACATCCACAAACACAGGACTTGCAATGAAACATAACCATCGAATGCCTTTAGTAGCCTAGCTATGGCTATGCCAGCATTATGTTTCCGAACAAAGATTGTTATCCGTTCTCATTTATGTTTTTTTTTTTTCAACACAACATTCCAAAGTTTCCGTAAAATTGTCACCTTGTTTGTTTTTATGTCATATTCAACAGTCGTTTTTTATGTTTTGTTTTGAAATTTAGTCATCCAATTCCGTAGTTGCCTTTTGGGTGTGTTTATGATCCCTTTTTCGGCTTTCTCCCACATCTGCCCCAAGGACAGACTGCTTTGCGGTTTAAGTGATTTATTTTTAATAAGTATGTGTATTTCGTACGAGCTCGTTCCATGATGTACCTTACAAAGTATATGACATGTTTTTTTCTTTCTTTCTGTTGTCTCAATTTTTAATGCCAAAAGAAATTTCAACTTTTTTTCTTTTGCAATAAGTAGACTTTTTAAGAGGATCTTCTACGGCTGTTTGTTTTGCTTGAGATGGGTCAAGTAATTCTCTGTTTTTATGCGTGTATTTTGTTAGCTTTCTACAGTGGTTTCGTATTTTGGGTAGGCATTTTCCCTTTTTTATGACAAGTTTAAGTTTAACCACAAATCATTATAAACGTCTGACCCTTTTCATTTGTAAACGGATTAGTGGGGCGCAAGAGAATGCCTTCTATTGGAATATATTGAAAAATGTTTTTATATTTGTAGAGATATCATCTGAGTATGGAATATTAAAAATTGGTAATGAATTACCGCTCGTTTCAAGTATGTAGACATATGTAAGGGGAAGTATATGTAGATATTAGAAATATGCACGGGTTCCGTAAGATTAGTCTTTTAGACAACAGCATGTATCCTCAGCCTGCGACGAACACAACATGTGGAGTGGCTATACTTAAGAGGCTGTGAAATTCTTTAAAAAAAACACCCTTTTTGTCAGGATATTTTTACAGGATTTCTTAATATTACTTTTTACGAATTTTATAAAATGTTCTTCACAAAAATGTCCAATCTTTTAGAAAGAAATCTTCAACGTTTCTTGAAATTTCCAAGATTGGAAGTTCTTGAAATCTGTCCTAAAATTCTTTTTATACATGGAAGTTTTCCTTTCTAAAAATCCACGATTTTTCAATGAAAGTCAATAAAATCTTTCCTCTTGAAAAATCCGAATTTTTGCAAAAATTGTTCTTGAAATATTATTTCTTCTAAATGCAGGATTAAAAATATATGAATAATTTCAAGCATTTCCTTAAAATACTATTTAGTAATTCACGATATTTTCAGGGAAGTTTTTGAAATATTACATTTTGAAAAAAATATATATTTGTGTGGGCTAAATATTTAAAAAATCCACTTATTTTACAAGGATGTTTTTGAAATGAATCATAATAAAATTTAAAGATCCACAACGAGTCATTGAAGTTTTTCTTTTTTGTATGGAATACCTTACAAGAAAGTTCTAAAACATTTGTAAACGTAGTTTTGTAAAGATATTATTAAACAGTCCACGATTTCTTTTTTAAAAATCTTTGAAAAATAATTTTCAAAATATCAACGATTATGTTAAAATTATTCTTAAATTGTCCCCGCAATTTCAAAAAAAAAAAACATTTTATAGAAAATATTATTAAAATCTCCACAATTTTTGTGCCAGAAGACACTTCAAAATACTTTAAAACTTTGATTGTCACAAAGTTGTCTTTAAATATTTACTATTTAAAAAAAAAATCTGCGAATTTTTTTAAAAAGTATAATTTCTGTTATTTTCTTTAAAAATATCCGATTTTGTAAAAAAAAACTTTCTCCAAAAACCAACTTTGTAACATTAATTTTTAATCTTCAGACATCCCTTGGAAAGGCCTTGACAAAAAAATATTTTTTTTTTAAGTTCACTGAGTTTTTTTTTTAAATGTTAATTTCTTCAAAATCTTGGATTTTGTAAAAACCTAGACTTTGTAACATTATTTTTTAAAACATTGAGTTTTTCTTGTAAATGGCTTGATGAATCAATGAGGTCTTGTGAAAACAAATATATCCTTTTTTCCCATAATGTCCGAAAAAAATCTTAGCAGCAAGCCTCAGAAAAGAAATGATTACTGCAAAAATCCAAGAAAATCTTGCAAAAACTATTTAAAATTCATTAATCCAAAAACATAAAAATTAATGATAAATATATTAATATATACATATAAATGTGCTACCGGAATTGTTTCCAATTTCATATTCGCATAAATAATTTTCAAGTCTATAGCAGAAAATTACTCCATATAAGCGGTATTTTTCGGCGGATTTGTATTTTTTTTAATTTCCAAATAGTTGCTTTATTATTTGTAAGTACTCAAAATACTAATTTTGTTGCGACAAAAAGTCGAAAAAAATGCTTTACTGCAGAGAAGGAGAAGACGTCATCCTACTTTATCAAGTACCTCCTCCACAAAGGGTCAACATTTTCAATAATTATAACTCTTATAATATGTGATGTAAGAGTCCGATTGTCTTCAAATTAAACAATATTTTTAATAACCCAAGGTCGGGAGTGAAGTTGGAATATATCGGTTCACTCCTTCTGGTACCTCTCCCACAAAGGGTAAAAATTTTCTATACTTCACTTCAATTCTCTATACTTCTATCAAAACAAGATCTGCTTTAAAAATGGTTAAGATCGGTTCATTCCTTATGCTACCTCCCCCACAAAGGGTCAAAGTTTTGAATAACCAACTCGATTATAAAGTCTGAATAAGCATCCGGTTATTTTCATATTTCACACATCCCATTATTTCTACTAACACAAGCTCTGTGGTATAGATGGTATAGATCGGACCACTTCTGGTAACTTCCTCACATAGGGTTCAAGATTTTGAAAAAAAAAAAAAAAACGCTCCCAACTCTCTTCCAATTTCCCACATAAAAACATTTTTGCTATGACAATATCTGTTGTGAAGATGATGCCAACACTTTGTGGTACCTCATCCACAAAGGATCAAAATTTTTAATACTTTTATCTATCATAGCTTGCGAAAGAAATCAGCGAATCTTCACAATCAGAAACCTGAGATAAATATAGTGTTTATGATTTCACGTAAAATTGGATATAAATGTACGAATTTCTTGTAATTTTGCCCACACCAATATTTTTATCTTTACTAGATGAGATGTATATGAAAATGGAATTCTTCCGTCGATTATATCTGGTACCTCACGCTCTTTTTAGCATTTTCCAAAAATTTTCTATATTATTATTATATGTATAAAGGAGGAAAATATTTGTACGTTTGATTGTTTGTTTATTTGTAATTAATGGACTCGAAACACGTTGTACAGATTTTCCTGAAAATGTCTAAGTATATTACAACATCGCCTGAAAGTAACATAGGCTACAAACATTTTTTAAAATTCCACTTGGCATCAAAATCGGAGGTACCTCCAAGAAAATTAGATTTTATGTGCACATATCTGTTGATCGATTACAGATACAATCTCCAAATTAAGAATGTGTAACGGAATTTGGGACAAAAATAAGTTTGCCAAATTATATCGAAATCGGTTCACATATGGACATAGCTTCCATAATATTTTCGGCCGCTATCAAGTATTTGATGCATCAAACACGTTGTGTATTCCAAATTTCAATGTTGTATATTCTAAAGCATTACAACAAATACTTTTTTGATTCTTGAACTTTGTTTATTATACCCTACAACGTGATGTGTTGGGGTATTATAAGTTTGATTGGGCCAAAAATTATGTAACACCTCGAAATATTGACTTCCCACATAGGAAAGTATATATGGATCTTCCTATCTCGCCGAGCTGAGTCGATCTAGCTATGTATGTCAGTCCGTCCATCTATCCATTGGTAATCACTCTACAGGTCGCAATTATGGCCCGATCTTCACGAAATTTAGAATAAAGGTGGGGTTAGAGTCAGAATAGAACCCTATTTCTTTTGGAGATGATCGCATAATATTTAGGGGTTGAAATGGACCAAAAAGTGAAAAAATCCTGATTTTGCAGTTGCTCTACAGGTCGCAATTATAGACCAATCCACGCGGAAGTTAGCACGACGCTAGGGCTTATTTTTATCGCATGCGATTTTTTCAATTTGACTTATAATATTGAAGTGTACATTTTGTAATATTTTTTTTTCAGGTTGGGTTTATCATATATAGATTGCAATTATCGTCCGATCCCTACGAACATTTTCACAAGGGTAGGGTTAGGCTCAGAAGGGCAAGGCCTATTGTTTTCACAGATGTATACAATATATTTAGGGGTTGAAATAGACCAACAACACAAATATAAACGAAAGGACACGAAATCTCGCATGAAGTTAGAGTTTATGACAACGGGTAAAATGGATGGGAAAGCGAAATCTTCCAAGATGGATTTGGACATAAAGGGGCATCTAACATATTGTAGTATTGTAGGGTATCACATGGTCGGCCCCGCACGGCTATAGCCTTTGCTTACTTGTTATACCCTCCACCATACTATGGAGGGTATATTAATTTTGTCATTCCGTTTGTAACTCCTCGAAATACTCACGTCAGACCCAACAAAGTATATATATTCTTGATCA